ACACATGCACATGACACAAGGCAAGGCCGCCACAGTGCACACATGCTCAACACATGTACATGACACAGGGCAAGGCCACCACAGTGCACACATGCTCAACACATGCACATGACACCAGGCAAGGCCGCCACAGTGCACACATGCTCAACACATGCACATGACACAAGGCAAGGCCACCACAGTGCACACATGCTCAACACATGCACATGACACAAGGCAAGGCCGCCACAGTGCACACATGCTCAACACATGCACATGACACAAGGCAAGGCCGCCACAGTGCACACATGCTCAACACATGCACATGACACAAGGCAAGGCCACCACAGTGCACACATGCTCAACACATGTACATGACACAAGGCAAGGCCGCCACAGTGCACACATGCTCAACACATGCACATGACACAGGGCAAGGCCGCCACAGTGCACACATGCTCAACACATGTACATGACACCAGGCAAGGCCCCACAGTGCACACATGCTCAACACATGCACATGACACAAGGCAAGGCCGCCACAGTGCACACATGCTCAACACATGCACATGACACAGGGCAAGGCCGCCACAGTGCACACATGCTCAACACATGCACATGACACAGGGCAAGGCCGCCACAGTGTTCACATGCTCAACACATGCACATGACACAAGGCAAGGCCGCCACAGTGCACACATGCTCAATACATGCACATGACACAGGGCAAGGCCGCCACAGTGCACACATGCTCAACACATGCACATGACACAAGGCAAGGCCGCCACAGTGCACACATGCTCAACACATGCACATGACACAGGGCAAGGCCACCACAGTGCACACATGCTCAACACATGCACATGACACAAGGCAAGGCCGCCACAGTGCACACATGCTCAACACATGCACATGACACAAGGCAAGGCCGCCACAGTGCACACATGCTCAACACATGCACATGACACAGGGCAAGGCCGCCACAGTGCACACATGCTCAACACATGCACATGACACAGGGCAAGGCCGCCACAGTGCACACATGCTCAACACATGCACATGACACAGGGCAAGGCCACCACAGTGCACACATGCTCAACACATGCACATGACACAAGGCAAGGCCGCCACAGTGCACACATGCTCAACACATGCACATGACACAGGGCAAGGCCGCCACAGTGCACACATGCTCAACACATGTACATGACACCAGGCAAGGCCGCCACAGTGCACACATGCTCAACACATGCACATGACACAGGGCAAGGCCGCCACAGTGCACACATGCTCAACACATGCACATGACACAAGGCAAGGCCGCCACAGTGCACACATGCTCA